GTTTATTTTTCTACATACAGACATAATATTAATTTCAATCCAGCACCTTGGCTACATACACGATTGATAGCCCTTAATGATCAATATCAATATAAGTACGCTTGAACGTTTGCTTGAGTTGTGAAGAGAAAAAGATTTCGAATTACTATGCCTTTTTGTTTAGTTGGGAACAAAACAAGGAAGTATATTACCAAGAAGAAAAAAGGCAACGTCAGTTGGAACGTGTGATTGAAGAAGAAACTCAATATCAGCAGTATCAACACAGAAACGGAATCAGTCGAGTATCGTCATACTCAACACCAGCATCACCTCGTTTCATTGCACAGTTTCGCTTAGCTGGTTGGAAAATAGTCAGTAATGATCTGCTCGATAAAAGGTGCAGCATTTGTCTCGAAGACTTACGATTAAATCAATGCTTCGCTCAATGGTCGTGTGAAGCTAAACACACATTTCATTACCATTGTATGCTAGATGCCTTAAGATCAGGAAATAAATGTCCTTTATGTCGATATCCTGTTGAAGCAGCTACTTTACCAAATATGCAAACTGTTATTCAGTCCATACTAGAAAGAATGACGCGTAATGGATTCACTTGAAAAAAAAACAACGTTTTTTTCATTAATGTATCACATCGTCGATCAGAACTTTTCTTTGTTATACAGTCTGGTCAATATATTTATTATAACGAGTAAAATATTAACAATCATAATTAAAATGACAAAGAGAGTTTTGCATGTTGAGAATTTTACCTGTTTTTGAGAATAAAACTGAGAAAAAGTTCATATAACTTATGTTCGATTGTATTTTGATTTTATTCTATTGAGGGTGTGGGTGTGTCTAGTTATCATTATCGTAATTTCATTCTGGCTAAAGGACTCATCAAATGGCTTTGACTTGGATCCGAAGAATGTAAACAAGATACATGATTTATGCATATTTGAAAAAGTCTCAATGAAATTTTCAAAAGCATAGGGCATAGATGTGGATATCGATGTCGGTGAATGTGCACGCGCGTGTGTACTTCTAGATATGGATGTGAGTCTAGGAAACTAGAATATTCACATCCATGCTAATCAATTAATTATAGTAGCGTTACTTCTGTCAAAATATTAGATGTACTTGATTGGTTGCAATCATTGAAAGTCTTATGATAGTAATTATACATAGCAGTTCGATATATAATTAACTGACATCTGATTTAAATCTATATACTTCTTACAAAATTATCAATATGCTATGGAGGATGTGAGTAGATGTCTGGGTCGATAAAGTGATTTTCTTTCTTTGCAGACTCAGGCGCATCCACCGACACCCTGTAGATTAGATTGTAATAATCTCGATTGAGGATGACTACTGTCTGTCTTTTCATTACCATAAACAGACTAGAGCGATGGCCAATATCACGCAAGATACATTGATATCAAGTCGAAATCTAAGATATCTAAGTTTCTTTTTTAACAAAGACTGATTCATATACCTGTGAAGCATTCCTTTTTTCCAATGGAAAAAAAGGGATAAAATTTTCTACGATCGCATCAGAAGACACTTGAGAATACTCGGAAAAATCGATGATCATGCTTCTACTTTGCTAAGTATCAACCCAACAGTAAGCGGTTACAACAAAATCATCGAAGTGTTTCTCACAACCAAATCGAACAAAGAATTGAGACTATTATTTTACAAGATGATCAAAGGACTGTTTAAGACCTGATCGAATAAATGACTATGTATGTTTTTGGATTTCAATCATTGCAAAACAAAAAAAAGGAATCATTTAAGTGAATCAACAAAATCTCGCTCGCTTGTCTGTTTCTTTTTCTCTAGCATTTAAGTAGAAATAGTTGAGTTTCTCTTTCGAATGAAATATCAACAATTTCTACATTTGATTAACAATAACACCGACACTACAATCAAAACAATTCTTCTAGAATTTCGATCTGTATTTTCATAGTCAACAAGTACCATATTATTAAAGATATCTATATATGAGTAGAAACCAATAACGCATGCTTTCCCATCATCTAGGATATAATCAAGTTGAGGCTAGTTAAACAGATGATCTTTTCTTAGTCAACGGTTCACAGTATTATGAAAAGTCTCCTAAATAACATACTGAATGCTGACCAATTATAAACATTAACAGATGTGTGTCGATTTTCTGGAATAAAATATAATTGAAAATATTGAGACAGATGCGACTACTTGCAATTGATGGATTTGATTCACATAGGTATGGGTATGGGTATGGGCGTTTGTTTGGACGAAGCCCACACCCACGCCCTCGAAAGTTCGCCAAGGCTAACTTTTCATTAGCTCAACCACATACGCTAAACATTTGAATTTAGAGGTTTTAGATGATTCTGAACAAGATGAGAACATCAAATCAAAAATCTAAATTTTATCGAGTGCTTCGATATCTGGCATGATCCTTGATGGTCTTCATGGGCGCTCTGTTAAGTAATGTCTTCAAGACAATATTCTCAAACATTAAGTGTTTGTCTGTTAAATTTTATAGTTAAAGAAACAAAAAGTACTGACGAAATAAATTTACAACATTTGTTGTTAAAGACTTACAAAAGTAAAAAAATTATTTTCTGTATGAAATATTATACCATACCAAACATTTGAATAACTTGTAATAGAGAATAATCTTCAAGCATATGACGAAGTAACATATTTTGCACAAAGTAGAAGCAGAAGCACGAACTCTTGTGCCACTTATGGCTATATCGTCTTTATTTCTTGAAGCTATCAGTTTCATTCTTATTGTAAATTAATCGAATAAAATATTTAAAAGACGATGATGATTTATAGTAAAAATCGTGCTTTTAGAGTTCATATTTTTCGAGTAGCTGTCGTCAAGAGCCTGAGTACATCATTCTATCGAGCTCGTCGAGTTGTATCTGGATCACAGTATTGTTGAAGGGGCTCAGTAAATGGAACGAATCATTTTGAACATAAACTACACAAATCCATTGTTTACTTCCCTTACATGATTGTGAAGCCCTAATATTTTGTCCAATATGTATGAGAAAAAAATCAGATACCTCAATAATATATGATGACAAGCCATTTAACGTATGCAGATGACTGCACACAAGCCAAACTCATCTACTGACGTATACATAAGCAAAATAATGCTTTCATCGCTTGCATAAAACAACGTCAATACACTACTTTGTTTTTCTTGTTGTCCGCAAGCAAGATTTTTCACAAATACAGCAAGTAAACGTAAGTCTTTTAAAATTACGTTCTCTTCAGAAGTCCTTCTTCATCATCAATATCCGGCAGATTTTTTGTTTCTTTAAGTAGTACCGCTAAGCTTACATAGTATTATTTTCGTGCCATAGTAATTATTTTTCTGCTCACAAAAATGTTTCGAAGTCCTGTACGAAATGAATAGGAGATGTTCATTACTGTAAAGCCACTATTCTCATGAAGCGTTTGTAGTATTCTAAATTTTCAATATTGATCAATAGAAACCTCTATTGTTCCAAATGAAGACGCTAGCATATGCAGGATATAGGAATAATATTCCATCGTCCAATGCAAAGTTTTATGTTCCAATAATCAACACGATATTGCTGATGAACTGATATAAATGACTCCTTTATAAACGAAAACAGTTTTTGACCTCTGAAATGCTTCAGAGGGGTATGCGAATATAAAAAAAATTATTTTTAGCATGAACATAGGATCTGTCTAGATTCATCAAGAATTTCATGCGTAACTTAAACAAGAATACTAGAAATAATACTTTGAAAAAGAAATAATAAAAATAACAGACCCCCTTCTTTGGTGTGGGTGTAGGCTATCTTAATTCATACCCACATTTATATCCACATCCACACCCTCAGGATCAAATGTTAGTTGTTAAAATTTAAAGGAAAGAAACAAAGTCAGCTGTTCATACAAACAATTGGAAGATTAATAAGAACATCTAACAGTTACCGTCTGTGTACCGAGCGCTCATTTAATTGATCGTAAGTGTTAGAGGTTCTTAGCGTTCTTCGAATCGGTCGTGTGAACTGCTGACTTTGTTTCTTTCCTTTGAATTTTAACAACTAACATTTGATCCTGAATCATATGATATTATCTTGAATATGCCTGTCAAACTGTCAAACTCTCGATTAATTAATTCGAAAGAAAAAGCGTGCTACATCTTCAAATTCAAAGCTGCTATTAATGCAATAAAATTTTATCTTGCTGCATCTCTAAATGCGTTCTTATCCTTCATTGTACACGACATTCGACAATCACGAATTGCAATATAGTAAATCATTGAAATGCTCGATAGTGTATTTGTGCATTGTTAAGCTCGGTAAAACTCACATTTATACGGCATTGAAAATAATTGAATAGTAATCCAATGATGCCAAATTGCAGCTTCAACTTCAACACGACTATTAATATTTCGATTTTTGTTAAAGATCATAGAATCAAAAATGAATACAAATTCAAACAATAATGTGAATGAATTATGTCCAGTTGATTGTGATGGTTATGGAATATTGCCTCATATGGATACATGGTCATTACAATTTTTAACAATTGAAGACCAAAATCTAGCACCAATTGAATATACATATATTAAATATCATGCTGATAAACATAAATGGAGATTTATGATCTGTTTATTAATATGTTTAGTTTGGATTATATTAACAAAAATAGATACAAGTGAGATTTGTGGCCAATCATGTGAAAATATTCATATTTATTTATGTTCTATTGTGCACATAGATATCGGTTTATTATTATTTTCACTAGTATTATATTTATTACCAACTCGTCATTCACATTTATTTCAAATTATTTATCTTTTAACATGTGTCATTACAATTAAATATCCATTTCGTTATAGTACATGTTTTATTAATTGTTTCATAAATTTTTATTTATTTTGTCTACCATTTCATAGTTTTAAGAATATAAGTATCATATTATTAATTATATCGATAATATCGAATCCAATAATTGATACCATCCTCAGTGTGTTATTCGTAGTATGCATCTTATTATTCTTAATAGAACGTGCATATTCTTATGAAACATGTGAAAGAATGGATTATTTTATTCGAACGACTATAAATTAGCATCTATACACTACTGGTCTTCAATTAAATCATTTACCATTTCTAACAGAATGCAACTGTAATGATAATGAAGATTTAGCATGTATATCTAATATTCAATTCGAACCAATCTTTATAACAGGACTTCATCGTTCAGGTACTACATTATTATATGAACAATTATGCAAAGTATTATCAGTAGCGTATGTAACACCCTATTCTATATTATATTATAATCATTTAATAGAAGCGGAAAATACTAATCAAACATCAACATATATAAATGCATTCAATAAATATTTTCGCTTATTAGGTATTCGTAATAGATTCATTGATTCTATACGAGTTTCAGCATTAAATCCACCAGAAGAATAGTGCTTTGTTATAAGTCAACAAAGAAATAGAATATTATCACTACCATTATTATTTACTAAAGATTCTCTTCGTTTAAATTCTAAATCATATAAAATCTTCAACAATTTATGTCGTAAATTAATTTATACGCAAAAACCTGAATCGAATATTGTTTTATTGAAAAATCCATGGGACTATGGAAATGAAAGTGAAATACTTAAATTATATCCAAACGCTAAATTTATTCACATTCTTCGAAATCCTTTAGAAGTTATTAATTCAGCATATTTAGCTCAATATCATCACATAAGTGGGGCTCACTTTGATCCTTATGTATGGACTATAGCATCTAATTCATTAAAATCTGCGCTTTGTACAGCAAGATTTATTTACAGTTTAATGGGTACAAATAAAGCTACAAAGCGAATGCTGAATAATACCACCAATATGTATTTAAATAAAACACCTATTGGACTTAATTCAATTCAATCATTACCAAGTAGTAGAGTATACACAATAACTTATTCTAATTTGATTGAAAATCTAGTTGAACAATTAAATTTAATATGTCAATTTATTGGAATCCAAGTAACTCCAGAACAATTATCTAAACATAATTGTTACAAAAAACAATTTAAACCCGCTGATATTGTACAAGAACATAGTCAGTCAATTATACAACAATTAATTGAAAGAAATTTACCGACAAATTATTAACTCTTTAAGAACAGACTATTTAGGACAATAAGGTCCACCAGAAGATCGAACATTGCTATACTCTTCAAATTTTTGTCTACGCTTCTTATGAATAAAGCACTCAAAAATCATCGTCAGGGGGGGGGGTGGAGTGAGGATGTGAGAGGGTTAATGAGTTTGAGCCGTCATTATCACCATTTCATATCGCCTAGAGGAATCGTCAGATGCCTTGAGAGATCGATCTCTTCTATATGTAGAGGCTTCCTTTCGGTCTTGATAGAAAAAGAAATCTTATTCAGAAGATGTACCCTATGGTGAAGAGGTTTCTGACTATCAACACCGATCGGTTTTAAGGTACGAATTTTCAATTCAAGACGATCAATAACTTAGGAATCTGATTTTGTTACTTATAGGCAACATAAGTGCATCACAGGAATGGAAGAAGAAAAACTAGAATGTGGGTGTGATTGATTGAATAACCCACACCCACAATGAGATGCACATCCGTTAAGCAGTTAATGGCTCAAGAGTTAAAAAAATGATCTTCAACATCCAAGCACGTGAGTGAGAATATTAAGCAATGGAATAAGAAATTCAAGTGCTTGACTTCGTAACAAGACCACATATCTTGGCACAAGATATGTCCATAGCGCATAACCTTCTTTCCGTTGACAAGCACTTGAGCGCTTGCATGAGTTTCGTGTACATTTAAATCAGCTCATGCGCTGAACGCATGAAAGTGACGGAAATGAGTGACCGTGGGACAATCAATTAGACAAAATAACGAAAGCAAAACTGTCAAAGACGGAAGAATGCTCCTTGACACGCCGGCTGTTCGAGGCTAATTTTTCGCACAGATTTCATATAAGGCTTGCATACTAAAATAGTTGTTACTTAACCTTTGAACTTTCATTTTAATCCTTTCGTGGCGATGTGAGCCACCCGTGGTTCACACTGTCGCATGATCCAAAAGCTCATTTAACGCAGAAAAACTTGAATATCTCTGCCATACTTTGACGAAAGGGGCTCTTTTTTTTACTACTGATAGAGAAATATTCATAGCTCATATTAATAAGAGAAACGTCGATAAAAGTTGTATTGAAGTACTATACTTGCTACAAATAAAGAAATGAAACGTTTTGTGAACTATGAGAAAGCAAAATTCATCTCGCTGCGAATGGGTTAAATAAGATCAGTTTTGAATATGAAGTTGAAGAAAACAAAAGCACGTTTAAAATAGAATTAAGCCCTCCCCTCCCCCTCGAAAAATCGATCTCAGGCCAAGAACGTTCAAATGGTATAAAATTTTCAGGCCTATACCATGATCTTTGAGCGAGATATTAGCCAAACTAGAGTAAAAAATAGTTCATTTGGCAAACCAAATTTCTCTGTCCAGCCTCATTGTATATATTTGGTTTTTTGTTTTGTTTCAAAGATCATATCAGGATGCAAGGTCTATCAGAGCCCTCTTTGTTTTAAATTCATACTTTTTAAGCGGACAACAGGGATCACAAGTTCAATGGTTCAAAAAACTCTGAAAATGGCGCTCTATTTATATATGTGTTTATATATATATAGTAAAAGCAACGCTTTATCAAAAAACAGGACTCTGGCAGCCACTGCGTCTTGACACGCTCTTTCAAACCAAAAAAAATTAAATGTATAGAATGAGTATCGACAGAGAAATTTTGTTTGAGCAATGAAGAAACAATAAATGGAGAAAAAATGAACAAGATTTTCTGTTTTTTTCTGAAAACAGCTTATTTTTCGAATAGGGGATGACAGAAATGGGTGTGAGTGGATGTGGGTATGGATCTTCTCTTTATCTAAATTCACACCCACCCTTGTTCAAGTTCGATATATGATGCGTTATAGAGATTTCCAGGAAATTGTATGTATTTTGCATACCGAATGAATTTCCGGAAATTGAATCTGCTCATCGGATAAACTAAACAGTTCAAGCAACAATGATTGTCTTATAGGGCATATAAGGCATATAAGGCATATAGGGCATATAAGGCATATAAGGCATATAGGGCATGTAGGACATATAGGGGATATAAGACATGAAGGTGGGACATCTCGTCTCTCTCGATGAGGGTCAACATATGATGTCTTCGAGCAATATCCTCAGAAACTGAATTATGTCCTAGGCAACAAGATTCAGCAGATATACAAGATTTAGAGATATAGAGATATTGAAGATAGAAGTAATCTTCGATGCAAGCAAAATAAGATCCGTCCTCTCGTCCCCGTTCCGTTTGGAACTCTATTTCCTGCACCCATGTGGCGCCGCATATGGGTGCAGGAAAGAGGGTTTCAAACGGAGCGGGGACGAGAGGGTGTGGGGGACACCATAGGAGGAGAGTGGCTGCATGTGGGTGTGGGAAAACGTGGGCGGAACCCCTCAGTACAGGTGGAAGAAAACGAGATGTAAAGAGGTATTCGAGATAGCTATGCATCCAATATCTTCTATATCGCCTATATCTGCTGAGTCTACTTGTCTAGGACATAATTGAGTTTCTGAGGAAATCCTCCGAACACATCTAATCCATTATGCCCATTATGCCCATCATGGCTATTATGCCCATTGTAACACGGACATTGATTTCCGTTTCCTGGAAACTAATATAACGCATCAAATCTGCTTTTTATATTGAGAAATATCACATTCAAAGTAAATGTGTTTTGAAAAAAGTCCGTATTTGTTTTGATCGCTTTTTGTATTGAGAAAATCAAATTGAAAGTAAATTTATTTTGAAAAGTTCCTATTTGTTTTAATTGTTTTTATATTGAGGAAAATCATATTTAAACTAAAGTTGTTTCGAAAAAGTTAGTATTTGTTTTGATTGCTTTTGATATTGAAGAAAATCAGACTGAAAGTAAATTTGTTTTGAAAATGTAGCATTTGTTTTCATTGCTTTTTTATATCAAGAAAAATTACATTCAAAAAGGAAATTCGCTTTGAAAAAGTTCATATTTGGTTTGATTCTTTTTGTGTGGAGAAAAATCATGTTTTAACTAAATTTGTTTTGAAAAAGTTACTATTTGTTTCCGCTGTTTTCTTTCGAGAAAAATCACATTGAAAGTACATGTGTTTTGAAAAAGTTTGAATTTGCTTTGATTGTTCTTTGTATTGAGAAAAATCAAATTGAAAGTAAATTTATTTTGAAAAGTTCCTATTTGTTTTGGTTGTTTTTATTTTGAGAAAAATCATATTTAAACGAAATTTGTTGCGAAAAAGTTAGTATTTGTTTTGATTGCTTTTGATATTGAGGAAAATCACATTGAAAGTCGATTTGTTTTGAAGAGAAAAATTTCTAATTCTATATGATAAAGTCTTTTGTCTATAAAAGGAATCACAAAAATGTTCTTCTCGAGTGTGAGACAGAGAATATAGATTGTTCTCTTTATTTTATGTGGGTTGGTTTGTATATTATCATGATGCCTGTTTGATAATTCTTTTTTGTCTTTTGTTGAAGTTATTATTATTGTACATACAGTGACTAATTTAAACTGTGTTTTGGCTGATTATTTTTTTGGGGAAGTGCAGTATTTGTGATCGGTTTAATGTAATGGCTATTTTCAAGTTCGATTGGGTGTGGAAGTAGCTATTCATTTAAGATGATAGTGTAGAAAATCTCACGAGTGTTTAGCGGAAGATGTCCATTGGAACTGATCGTTATCTTGAAGCCGAATATGAGATAGATGCAAAACTTATGAAAGTATCTGAGTCATCTCGCTATTAAGTGATAGATTGGCATGAAGTAGTGAAAGGAATATTGAAATATTTTAAATGCTTATTTCTAGCAAATAGCATCTTTAAAATTAATACAAATTTCCAAAGTATTGAACATAATCGTAGTTTCATTTTATTGAGGTTCTGTGATTTACCAGAAATTTCAATATTAGAAGAAGAACAACACACTTTTCGTTGTAGGGATTTTATAGAGAACAGATAAATTCTTATAGGTTGATGTTCGTCAGGTATTGAACCTTATGAAAATGTCTATTAGATATGTACATTTTATATTAGACCTAGTTTGTTATTTAAATTATTTGGTGAAAACGCTGATAAAAATGAAATTGAACGATACTTATTTCACGAAGAATGCATTACTGAATTGTTTAGAAACTGATCAATGATTAGTGCAAGAAATTCTGTTTGAAGCACCTTTTGAGAATATCAACGAAAATGTGTATAATGTAACATATCAAACTTGATAATGACGATTTTTTTGTTTCGTTTTGATATCTCTCTCTATATCTCGTTTAATAGTTAATCACAATTATTATTTAAGAAAAGCTTTTAGGAATTTCTATAGCAACTGTTTTTGTCATTTCAATGTTGTTTTCAGAATCATTTCATGATACTTGTGAATAAACGACTGGTACAAATGAGTATGATTCAACATGAATCTATGAACCTATAACCGTAACTAATTTTTCTAAAAGTATGAAAACAAATTTTTTAGTTTTTTTTTTTTTTCTTTTCGCTTGGCCCAAGCAAAAACATTTCCTATTGCGGTATTTAATAGAAAACGCCGTGTATCTGATTGATCTGGATGGCACAATTTGCATAACCTAAAAGCAGAAAAAAAATACTTATTTTAGAGTCGTTATTTGTAGAGTGAGTTGTCTATATTCTATCACTATTTTTCGGTAGTCTTAGCAAGATCTTTGTATGTTATGTCGTACGCATTCATTTTAAGTTAATTTGGAGATACATTCACATTTAATTCGAGTTATGACTCATTAAATGAGACCTTAATTAGATCCACATTTGTATTTCTTAATTTTAGGTTTAGCTTAGAGATTCATAATTTTTGGACAATGATAACCGATCTAGATATCAGTTGAAAAGAATGTATACGATTGAAGATACAAAGATTTTACTTAAAACATCCTGGAATGTTGATAGTATTATGATCTTTTGCTCTACACTTACAACGAATGGCACGTATTTTGTTCAAAGAAATTGATGAAATGCGGTTTTCAGCACGTTGCTTAATAGTTGGAAACATAGCTTTAACTATATTTCTACACGTTTTAGTAATTTCATTTTCATCTTCGCATTAGTTTTAATTGACCTTTGCTTAAGTTTAAAATAGCAGAAATTTCTTCGATTTTATCTTCTTTCTTTTTTGCTTTGTTGTGCCTATCATTAGACAATATATAGGATATTTCATAAATTTTGAAATGCGGTTTATACTAGTATATAGAACAACGTCCAATGCTAATGTTTTTATATCAACTTCGAGTACTCGAGACAATGTTTTCAATAATATATTACTAAATAAGATAATTCATTTTAGTAATGGAAATATGCATTTCAAAATGATATGATAAATTTTTACAAATCGACCAATATGATATAACATGACAGAAAATGTTTACAAGATTCTTTTTTAATTTCGTACACATCTCAATGTAGCTAGATGGTAATATTTTCAATATTTTTTAAAAGATGCGCCATGAAAATATCTGGAAAATCTACATAAATAGATCTCAATTACAAAACAAGTCTTCGAAACATCTTATTTTATTGAACACCTTTCGGAATAATACTATCACTACTGCTATTCGTTTGAAACGGGTTATCAAATAAAAATCAGTAATTATTTTCTTCATATAGATTTTGTAGAGCGTGTAGGACACATCTTTAAAAAATATCCAAAATATTATTATTTAGATACATTGAGATATGTATGAAATTTTAAGAAATCTTGGAAATATCTCGATACATGTTGTATCATTTTGGTCGATTTGGAGAAATTTATCGCCTTTTCATCTGTATATTTTCATTATTAAAATCAGTTTTCTTAATAAATCAAATATCATTGAAGACATCGATTCGAGTGCTCTAAGCTGATTTAAAAACATAATAATTCGATGTTGTTCAATATGTCAGTACAAACAAATTTTATCGCAGCTCAAAATTTATGAAACACTCTGTAATGATATTGTTTTCAATGCATACAAAAAGTAAGTAATCGACCCTGGTACATACATTCTCTTGTACATAGCAATTTGACGTTTTTAGGTTTAAATTTTCGCGAACAAGCTCTTCAATTGTAAAATTTGTTGCCATATTTTTCACATTTTTTCTTTTATTCGAGTCTAAAAAAATAAATATATACCTAGCCATGATCAAAAGTTATATGAATATCAAATGAGCAGGTAGGGCATAAAGAGATATTTTAAGTTTTATTTTATTAGATGTTTAGAACGGTTGTTACTATTATTTCAGCAAAGCCCAATTTTTTCAAGCAATTCTTTAAAACATTTCTTGAGTTGTTTTTCTGAAAAATTTTTGTCTATCTCTGGGACTATATGATTAATGACGCTTCATTCAATGTATCATTTAAAGCAGGTTCTTTCTCAATAACAACCGTTAGCGTTTAATTTTCAATACGCAAGCTAGCATTCAGTGGAGTGCTTTAACTTATGTAAAGAACACATACATGTCATTGTCATAGCGGTATAAAGTATTTCACATGGTTTAGCAAAAATAACTTCCTAATTTTGAAACAAATCGAACATGATTAGTTGTGTCATTTTTAAGGCACCTGATACTATTTCCGAAAAATAATTCAATAAACCTTTTAAGAATTTGTTAGAAATGATCGAACTCTATTCAAATAATAATCACGATCGTTCTAAACATTTTATAAAATAAAATAGAAAGTATCCCTTATCTTTATATTTTTTTATTCCATATTCTTCGAGTTTTTGATCAGTCATAAGTGTTTTCTTTCATAGTAAGAAAATATCTTTTTTCTATATTTATGAGAACAACTGAAGATTATTTTGATAAACTCAATTCAATTTACTCACTTTGACTATTTAAACGATTTGGTATTTGTTTTAAAGATGATGATGATTATGATGAATAAACTTGATCAATATCACTAGATATATTACCATGATTAATATCTGCTAAAACAAAAACAAAAATCTTAACTTTTAATAAAAGAAACTATAATTGATTTATTTACTTTCAGCATCAGAAAAGCTTGTTTGTTCTATTGAAGATGAAGATCGATTAATTTGACCAAGAGTTGTTACTATTGATGAAGAAGATGAAGTTATTGTTTCATTTTGATTCATATGTTTTGTTTGATTGATACATCCACTAGTTTTTACTTCAAATATACGATTAGTTTCTTGATAGGTATTGTTGGAATTTGTGTTGGATTCAAATAAAGCACAAAAACTATTCGTATTACGAAATGAATATTTATTTGATTTTCTTCCCTGTCGTTGTCGGACTTTCTTCGATTGCATCGTTTCAACAACACGTCACTCTAAAAAAGATCATGTGGAAACGTAATAACGGAGTAATCGAAATTCAGGAAATCTATTCTCTGTAAAGCACTCGACGAGAATGAAAAAAAAATAACTAACGAAGTACTGCTAATGACGAATATAAAACTTCTAATTTGGCTATTCAATCTTACCCAAACTTTACTCCGCAGCTTCTGAATACTATGAGCCACTCATAACTTCACAAATAAGAAATTATAGATGGCACCCCCATACATAAGGGAGCATCTATAATTTTCATATTAACTCAAGATTTTCTCATCAAAATAATTAGACTAACAGAATAATTAAAGACTTCCACAAAGTTATCATTGCGTAGATCGTAAAATAATTGTCTCGACCGAAGCAGTTTTATTGAAATTTCCATTTTGAAACAGTTAAATATGATATCTTGACATATCAGCATATAATTTAACATTAGCTCTAAATATTTGAAATTTTCAAACTCACACAAGTGGCGGCAGATCGATTCACAGTTGAGCTTTTTCTTCTTCGTTGGAGTGTCTGACACATAAAGCACACCAACGAGCATATATTTCCTTATTTATTAGTATTTCCACAAAATGCAACCACTGATTTCTAGTCACGCGTGCATTGACTGAAGTCCCAATTTGTTATAAAATGGCAAAAACATGACTAAAAATAAATTAAACGACATATTTTCCTCACTTTGACTTCAAAGTAAACGGAAGCAGGATTTCGATTTAAGGAAATTTTCCACAGATACAGACCTGCTTCTCAACAAACATTCTCCCAACTTCACTTAAAACTCAAATTTACTTATTCCTACAGACTTCATCATTAATAAAAATATTCTAGACATTTCTTTCATAGACAAAAGACTTTATCATATAGAATTAGAAATTTTTCTCTTCAAAAAAAATTTGACTTTGGTTATGTGAAACATAGAGTAATTTTCTAATATACATAGAATATCATTTCATGATAATAAAACATTATGTCAATGCATCAAAACAGAAACAATAGATAATTTACCATATTATTTAATAATAATGCATTACAATGCATTTTAAACACAGGTACTACCAATCATGGATGATGTACAAGAATAAAATGAAAATAATTATTAATATAAGATCTATCGGTTTGTAATTCATCGATGGATCAATCAGACGTATCTAAATACTATGGAACAATATTGATCAAAAATAAATCAATATTTATTCAGAATTCTCATCTTAGCATAGTTAGATTAAATAATGCAACATTTGATCAATTTTCTTATATGTTAACATGAGAATGAAATTTAATCAAGTTTTTGTCTTCATTTGCACAGTCCAGATTACGCTGATTGGTTCAGTATGATCGATACCTTTATTGTAATTATAAAATCAATTGAGACGACTCCTAATCTGAAGCATATCTTTGGACCAAAATCAGTTACATGAATGATAATACTAAGAAATGAAGCTTTCGAAAAAACATTATTTTATTTTAATTTATCGGTGGGCACTTCAATGTTCGAATACGAATTTATCACACATTTTTCAGAATTCCATCAAGAAAAAGATCTAGTCTAGTACATAAAATAAATAAATCCAAAATAATCAGACCAATGTATGAGAGAAAAAGAAGAAAATTCAAAAATAAAAGATACACCAAACAAAACCTACGAGTTTCGCTTTACAAATATTACCAATAATAAAAACAAACCGTTAAAATACATCGGATTGAGAAAACAGCAGCAAAAGAATTTTTACACGAAAAGATCACTTCATAATTGAAACACATATTTCATATATCACACAAAATGAAGAAAACTTTTTTACAATCGTTACACTGATAAAAAGGCGCAGACGCCGTATTTACATTGAACCAACTAATAATAAATTTATTTTTTTTTGGTCCTATGGTGAATAACGTTGTTTTGATTTTCGATTACGTTTCATATTCATAGGTGAAGCTATAAATGAGAGAGAACTTTTAAAAATTAATGAAGTAAAGAAAAATACTACTTACTATTATTTTCTTGAATGATTGCCGATGGATCAAGTACTATTCGTTCGTGAAGAAAATTATTTTTTTCAACATAATCAGCTAACACATATGAAAATAACCATGTTTTGTGTTTGACATCAGCAGCAGTAAGTGTACGAGGAAAAGTATCGATCTTATTTTTCTTAAATGATTCTTCATAGTCATTATAATGTATTTTATATTTTGCTAATAAACGAGCAAAATCAAGTTGATCTTGTGGATTATTTTTCGGAAATGCCTTCAAAAATCCTGGTAGAAGATTCATATTACAATTCCCTGTTTTTGTTGCAAACCAATTGTCTTTAATTAATAATTCATCGATAACTAATTTTGAAATTATGTTATCACGTGATTTGGATATGTTTTTTATGTGTTTAAGTTTGTTGCAAATGTCCGATCGTGACATAACAATAGCATCATTTCAGATTATTTTTTGGTACGCTTCTTGGAGATCTTCATCAACAATTTGATTATCACCTAGAAAAATGATAAACAATTCATTAAATAAAAAATGCCTGTAATTCAGAACTAACATCATTTAAAATATAACGATATTTATTATTATGTATAGTTCATTGTTTCAAAGTTTCTTGAAAATAAATGAATTACAACTTACCGATGATAGTGTTCGATTCCGTTCGAGCAGGTGTTGATGAAAGTGATCCACTTAAATGCATGTCGAAAAATGGTAATGTTATTTCTTCATTTTCATTATTTCTTGATCGTTTTGTGGTAAAATCATTATCCTCTTTGTCCAATATTCGTTTTAATAAATGTTTTTTATTTTGAAGCAAACCAGAAATTAATTTCAATGTTTCTGGAGAGCTCATATTTTCTAAAAACGTGGCCGTATCATTTGATGTTGTTTCGGTTGATAAAACAGTATTGTTGTTATTGTTATTATTACTATTAGATAATAATTCAATATTGGCCAATACTGACCGATCTAAACATAACGAAAGAATTTTTCATTTACTCAAATATAAAACCGCCATCTTACTTTGATTTTGTTTATGATTATTTGTTTTTGATTCATTTCGATAAGTAGACGTTGGATTGTCAAGAATATTTTCTGTCATATTAGATGTTGAACCTGAAAGGCATGTACCAATATACTGTTCAAATAAAATATTAAAGTTTACAAAGTAGACTTGCTTGATTGTTCAACATTTAGGGGATCATAATCAAGCATGTTTGTTAGTTGCTTGATAATATCATCAACTAGTGGTAAACATTCGTTTCGAAGTTGCTTATCAGATTCGGTTGTTTGATCGGTAAAGTTGTTGTTTTGTGGTTCAGTAGTATTATTTGTATTCAATATTTCAGATAAAAGACAAGAGTTTTCAGAACAGGATAATATCGTGTTCGGTGATGGATTATTAATTGATCGGTGTGGTATAAAAAGTAAAGTCGATAATAGATTATCATTATTATCACTATGATTATCACCACTGTTACCGTCATTGTCATCATTATTATTAGTTGGAGTTTGATCACCATCACACTGTTGACTGTTCTCAATATTCAAATTATCTATATGTCAGAAATGATTTAAATAAATAATAATCT